AGCGGCAAAGCGGCAAAGCCAGCGGCAGGGAGAGGGGCAATCCCCAGGAGGGCCCAGCCTCCTTAAACCCGATGTCAGGTGCCCAGGTCTAAGGGAGCAGAACCTCCCTGCATCCTGGAGGAGATGCTGGAGGACTGGAGCCCTTTGGACCCAAACAGGCCGCCTCAGAAGAAGGTGGACTACGGACTTTGCCTCCTAGTCGGTTTTCGAAGCAGAGAACCGCCAGCTGTCTGTCTGTCAGGGGTGCCTTGGACAAGGATGTTTGCCTTGGCGAGGGGTGGACCGATGACCCTTGGTTTGCCCTCCAGCTCTCCGGCCTTCGGATCCTGTCTGCAGAGGCCGTGGCACCAAGACTCTCCTGCCTCTGTCCCAAACAGGCCAGATCTCTGGCTACTGCAGCCCTTTTATGGCAGCGAAGGCTGCAAATGGTGGCTGACCCCTTCCTCCACCCCCCCACCTCCACCCCACCCTCCAGCGCTGTGTTAGGAGTTGATCCCACGGCCGGCCAGCTGGCTCTAGGCCACATTGTGGTGCCTTTCCTTGTTCACCTGGAAAAGCTCCGCAGACATTTGGTCCAGGAGGGTGACCTGGCCTGGTCAGGGGGAGACAGGAGGGAAGGGGCTCCCCCCACGAAACTCAAGGCTGCTTCCCACCCTCCTGGGTTAATCATTGCTGGACTCACCTGGAGACCATCCCTGCCACCCGCCCACTGGAATTCTCTCTTCCGGCCATTTCACCTGATGGTGTGGAGCCTGGGTGGGGGTGGAAGGGGGACGAGAGCAGGACGGGATTTCTTAACTGCAGGCAAGAATCTTAAGATGACCGACTGGGCCTTCAAAGGGTGACTAAGGACTAGGACCTTAAGAATAAAGGTGTGCTGCTCAATTAACAGCTGGCTGTGTAGCTCCGTGGTTTTGGTGTCAGGCTGCCGGTCCAGAGGCTGGGAGTTCTATCCCCCACAGGGACTCCAGGGAGAAGAGCCAGCCTGGGTGGCAAACTGCACAGCGATCCCAGGGTGACCCCAGAAGAAGGGAAGGGGAAACGGCCGCTGAGGAGTCTCTACTGGAAAATGGTTGCCCCGAGTTAGAGTTGACACGATGTCACAAGACAAAACGAAACTGAACAAAGACCCAAGATGGAGACAATCCATGTCGTGGCATTCCCAGGGACTGTGTGAAAGTTGGATGGTGAAGAAATGTGATTTGTGTTGGGGGGGGGGAAATCAACACATGTGCCGTAATGGTGCTGAAGGAGAGCTTTGTGGACAGCTTGGACCATCAGACAGACCAATAAGTGGGTTCTAGATCAGATCATTTGACCCAACTCTGGGAGCCCGTGGTGCTGTGGTCCATGGGGGTCACAAAGAGTCGGACATGACTTAACAACTATACAACAAAGAAGATCAAACCAAGCCTGAAGTCTAACTAAAAGGAAAAATGACAACACCGAGGCTGTTGTACTCAGAGCACATCACGAGGCAGCAAGACTCCCCAGAAAAGACAATAATGCTGGGAAACATTGAAGTGATTTAGTGGTGTATCTCGGCCAAGGTCCAGAATGCCGCACATGAGAAAATAACAGAGTACCTTTCTGAGCATGGACAGAGTGCTTTTCAATATGGGCAGGAAACCAGCTGGCACTTGCTCAGAGAAACACTTAGCAGTTTGTGGGAGGACTGACTTCTCTGGAAAGTCTTGCGTCGGTGAGGCCGTCCCAAGGGCAGGGTGGGGGGCACCCGCCGCTTGGAGGGGAGTTGTGTCATCTTTGGCCCCCTCTCCTCAGGGATCAGCCAGACGGATCGAAGAGCAGGCCCTGGAGGCCGCCCGGGGGGTTTCCAGCAGATGACTAAACCAGTCTCTACGTTTCCCACAAACTTTGGAGATTTGAGACAATCTGTTATTATTTTCTCTAGCCACTATTTTAGTTTCATGTTTGTCAACTCATTCTGTCTATTTTTGTAAGTACTGCTGGCTAAGTTTAACTCTTCCAGCAGCAAGCTGCTCGGGTGGCGAGGGTGGGCGAGCACTTCTTCTATCTAATTATGAACAAATAGACAGATAAGCTAGTAACCCCACCCACCCCAATCAACAAACCACTTATGAGAATATGCATGTTCAAGGAAAATGTGGTGACCCCAGCAAGCTGACCAGGGGAATCTCTGGAGCATTCAGATGAGGCGGGGGGGGTCAGTTTTTTGCAGCTGATTTCTCCCTCCCACCTCAACTCATCCCACTGCCAAGGACAGCCCCTTTTTGGTGATCTCCTGAACCCACCTCCCCATGGAAATGCTGCTCATCCCATTCTTTGCCGATGTCCCTCCAAAGCCAGACATGCAGGGGGTTCCCTTGTAACTCCCAAATAATCTGGGCTGCTTGATTATCTAAAAGCCCCCCCCCCCGGACATTCCTTCCAACTCCAGCTGCCTTTGCTCTCCCACCCCCCACATGCCTGCCCTCCCCAACAAGGAGAGGATGCTGGGGGTGGTGGTGTTGAGTGTCATAGTACATTTCCCACCTACCACCGAAAAACCACTCCCCCCCCAAACCTCCTGAAATGCCACGAATCTATGGCAGCCGCAACTACAACTGCAGCAGGAGATGGATGTGTGTGTGTGTGTGTGTGTGTGTGCTGAAACCCTCTTGTGATACTCCCCTCAACCCCCTCCCCACCCCAACATCCTCTCTCACACACATGGGCGTGGAAGATAAGCCCCACTTCCCACAAAAGGGTGAAGGGAGGTGGGTGTGCCGCCCCGACCCTGCAGAGGACAGGAGCCCCTTCTCCCCCACCTTCTCTGGATAGCGATGGGCCCAGGGCAGGCAGGATGTGGCCCGTTGCCTTGGGAAAACCACGGCTTCCCGCTCAAGCCCTCCCCTCAGATCCCAAGCCCTTCATTAACGCCTTTATTCTTAACATTCCTGTAGAGCAGCGTTCATGCCATCAAGGACTGTAACTGGAACCAAAACATACAAAACCCACAAATAACATTCTCTCTCCCCCCCCAAACACATGCAACTGCCATGGTGGCGAGGGGGGGGAGGATGATAGGCAGAGCAGATCTGCCCCCTCCTTGTCCCCCCTCTGGCCATCAAATGGACGGGGGGGGGGCTTCCTGGCTCCAGCTCAGCTCCAAAGGAGGAGGAGGAGCAGAACTTTGGACTCCCATTCCCAGAATCCCCCAACCAGTCATGATGGGAGTTTTAGTCAAAACAAGGCAACAGGCTTCCAAGCTCGGGCAGGCCTCCAAGTCACGGAGGAAGGCCAGCGGCCAAGGGCCAAAGGACGGATTCCTGCACAGGATGCCGGCC